TAAAATATTCCATTTAAAATATTAATTGTACTCAATCCGCCGAAGGGTAAAAAAAGCTTTGCGTTTTAACAAAAATAAAATAATTCACAGCTGACAAAATATAAGCTACTGTATTTTTATGTAGCCTCATGCAACTCTGTCCTACATATATTCTTCTGAGTTTCATTCAATTAATGGTCAGCGGTTGTTTTCTATTCCGTTGGGTTCTTTTCATCTCACGCGACTGTTTATCCTACGAATTTGTTCGAACATTTTATGCACTGAATTTTTAAGTTTATATAGGCATGCATCCAAATTGACCATTTTTTTAACACAATTCGACAAAGGCTGTAGTGAACCGAATGATCAGACCCACATCTGGATCCTGGCGAAATATTACAGTGGATAAAGGGTACACAAGTGTCTCTGCCCAAGACCACAGCGAAACAATTTGCAAAGCTTGCTCAAATGAAAAACATGCAATATTAAGCTCTAAAATTTTTTTATTTAATTATCGAATGTCTTAGTTTTTTCTCTTATTACTGTTATACTTACTAATAATTAAAAATTCTTTAATGTTTAGTATACTAGAGTATTCCATAAAAGAAGCAAATTTAAAACAATTTTTATGCAAATGACTTATGGTATTAAAATTTATATCAATAAAATAAATCAATGTTTCTTTATTTGCTGGCGTACGAAACTAAACTTGTAAATAAATGTTCTTTTATAAAGTGGTCCTAGGAAACCCCATTCCTTGACGGTCAAAACGTAATACTCTCCCACTAATTTGGTTTTAGGGAAAAACATGGAACTATTGAGCAAGTGATTCGTGTAACGAACGAAATACGACATGCATTTAAGCTCAGAGAATATTGTTTCGCGGTATTTGTATAACACAATAGGCTCCTATATACCATAAGATAAGCTGTTCATTACCTTCAAATGTCCACTCAGTTTTAGAATCGTATCTGCATAACAGAAGCTTTAAAGTTAAATGTAAATCACATACTTCTTATAATTTCCCAATAGAAGCCTGCGTTCCACAATGAAGTGTTCTTGGCCCTATCTTGTATGTACATTACACATCTGATGTCCCAATAAGTAGCTCAGTCGTCACCACAACATTTGCTGATGATACAACAATTTTATGTCGAAACAAAAACGTTGTGCTAGCTTTAAATGAACTTCAATCTCACTTATTTCCGGTGGAGAAATGGTTGTAAAAATGACGAATTAAAATTAATGAACTGAAATGTAGACACGTAATTTTTACCTTAAATCGGAGTACATCTCCAACAATTTTACAAAATAATATTCCCATACCACAAGCAGATAATATAACGTACTTAGGTATTCACCTAGACAGACGACTAACTCGCGCAAACATATTGAAGCCAAAAAAATTCAGATGAAGCTCCAGACCTCTAAGTTGCATTGGCTCATTAATAGCAGATCTTCCCTGTGCCTAGAGTATAAAGTACTCTTGTATAACGGCATCATAATACCAATATGAACTTATGGTATCCAGCTATTCGGTAATGCTAGTGCTTCAAATATTAAAATTATTCAAAGAGCTCAGTTAAAAATACTGAGAACAATCACTGGTGCCCTATGGTATATCAGGAATGAAACTATCCACCGAGACCACAAATTTCCCTAGTTAAAACTGTATTTGACAATATAAGAAAAAAATACAATAAAAGGCTGACAGAACATGTTAATCTCCTAGCAAGAAATCTCGCACATCTATCCACTACTTCCCGTCTAAAAAAAGTTGACCGTCCAGCTATTAATTAATATTCAATAGCTTGAAGTAAAAATCGCACCTTTCTTTTAAGTAATCTGATAAAGTTGAACTGCTGTCTTAATAAACCACCTAACATTCACTCCAATGAAATTTAACTCATTGTTCTAAGTGAGGTTCGTGATATAAGGTTTACTTATTTTATTTTATACAATGTATAGTTGAAATAAAAATTATAATATGATGTAATTAATGATAAGATTTTAAAAGTTATTATTAGTTTCATTGTAAGAGAATATACAATAAATAAATGTATAAGTATATAAAAAAAAAAATTATAAATGATTGCATTCTTCAATAATTTAGGTTTTTTTAATTTTCTTTGCTTGTTAGATTAATATGTTACCTGAACATGGATTATATTTCTCAGATTTATTTTGTTTAACTAATATTAGATATCAACAGTTAGAAAATCGAAGTTTATTAATCAATAAGGAATTATTAAATTTCATAGCATCATTAACTTTATAATGGTTTTTATTAAGTTCTAGAAATATAGATGCTCCTCCTACTTTAAATTTATAAGGTGAAATTTCATTAATTAATAAAATTCTTAATTGATCATTATATTTAATAATTAGTTTATCATTATTATTATATAGAGCTGCCTATGCATTATATCTATACTCTTATAGTCAACATGGAAACATTTATTCACAAGTTTATTCATTTAGAATGAGAAATATTCGTGAATTTATAATTGTTATCTTGCATTGATTTGATTTAAACTTATTATTAATAAAAAGTGAAATAATTTATTTTTAACTATAATTAAAATTGTTTAATTAAAACGTTGATTTGTGGTGTCCAATATTTAAGATATTATTTTAAATTATGTTATGTTATGTTATTGTTAATTAAAATGAATATAAAATTATTTTTTATGATTGTTGTTTATTAATAAAAATTATTTTTATTTTCTAGAGTGAGAATGGATTTTTTAAATACAACCAGAATTGTAATACCATTTTCATTTGATTAAATAAGATGAATACCTATAACTCTTGTTTTATTAATTTCTTATATTGTAATTTATTGTAGAAAGGAGTAAATGTTAGGAGATATAAACATTAAACTTAAATTTTAGTAGCAAATAACGGATTACACATATGTTAATGTGCACAAAGTGCATAAAAACATAAATAATAGAATTGTGGAAAAATCAAAAGTTAATTTATTTTATATTTACTTTCTTACACAGCCTAATATAATATAATGTGCAAAATAAAATAACATAATATAATATAACAGAATTAAACCACATGTACAAAAACTGAATTAACACTTAAAAAATGAAAAATAGAGGTTTTATAACTTTTATAATAAATATTGAGTTTAAATTTAAAATTGTCAATATATAAAAAAAAGAAGAAATGCAATTTATAAAATAAAGTAAACTGTATTTGAGACTGCTTATAACGTAAATGATCATACATAATGTATAACTTCTTAGTTTTTTAACCGATTTGCTTGAATTTCGATACATAAACAATTTAAATATTTATGATGTCATATGTTATATAGATGTTATATTATAACTTATTGAATTATTTTGTTAAAATATATACATAGGTTTATTGATGGTCATATTTTGCACAATTTTTCAGTGTCTTATGGGACCTGAAAAAGATATAAAACATCAAATTCGAAATGCAAATTTTTGTTTTTTTTTGTAAATCATAAACATTTGGCTATTAATAGGAAAGATATGATGCAATTGAACTTGAAAATAGAAATTACAATGTACAAAATAAAAATTAATATATAAAAAAATAAAAAATAAAAAACAAAAATCGACGTTTAAAATTTCGGTTTTCATTTTTTAAAAAGAATTTATTTCATTCTTTGTTGATTGAAAACAAAAAATCAGTCTTTTGATATTTTGGCAGATTATCATTCTTGATTTTTCACTTGTTAAATGCACCTAAAAACTATTCAATTATTAAATACTTGTGGCATCAAGTAGCAATTGGGCTAGCCCCTTACATATGGTAAAAAAACCAGACGGTAGTTGGAGACCTCGTGGAGATTACCGTCGCTTAAATGCAATCACCATCCCAGATCGTTACCCAGTTCCTCATATACATGATTTTGCACACATGTTATATAACCAAAAATTTTTTTCAACCATCGACCTGATTAAGGCATATCACCAGATACCAGTTGAACCGGGGGATATTCCAAAAACGGCGATCATAACTCCATTTGGATTATTTGAATTTACTAACATGACATTCGGACTTTGCAATGCAGGTCAAACATTTCAACGCTTCATTCACGAAGTATTACGAGATCTCGAATTCGCCTTTGCCTATATTGATGACGTCATTATTGCATCAGCAAACGAAGAAGAGCACAGGCAACACTTGCAACAATTATTCGAACGATTCAGAAAACATGGTTTAATAATAAACGTATCAAAATGCGTTTTTGCTCAAAACACAGTAAAATTTCTTGGTTATCTCATAAGTGAAAAGGGCATTCAACCTCTACCAGATCGAGTGAAGAGCATCATCGAGTACCCGTTTCCAACAAAAACAAAAGAATTAAGAAGATTTCTAGCATTACTTAACTTTTATCGCATGTTCGTACTAAACGCTGTAGATTCTCAAACTGCACTTCAACAAATGATAAAAGGAAACAAGAAGAACGACAACATACCGTTATGCTGGACCGAAATGAACAAAACAATCTTCCAAAAATGTAAAGATGAACTAACAAACTCGACACTACTTGTTCATCCGTCAAAAACTGCTACGCTTGCATTACAAGTAGACGCCTCGGATAAAGCTCTCGACGCAGTTCTTCATCAAGTGATAGACAGCATGTTCCAACCACTCGGTTTTTTCTCTAAATGATTAACAGATACACAAAAACGATACAGCACATACGATCGTGAGTTGTTAGCCGCATATCAGGGCATAAAACATTTTCGACATATGTTAGAAGGTCGTGAATTCGTGTTAATAACTGACCACAAGCCACTCACGTTCGCATTCCAGCAAAAGTCCGATAAGGCTTCACCACGTCAAGTCCATCAGCTTGATTATATAGGTCAATTTACAACGACTATCGTTCATGTCAGCGGAAAAGACAACATCCCAGCAGATTTTCTCTCGCGGATAGATAGTATTAGCATCCCAAAAATCGACTACGATTGTATAATTGGATTACAACGATGTTGCCCATAACTGCAAGATATCAAAAACAACAATTCCATCGAAATCAAACTTTTATCTTTACCAACAATATCAGATAAAATTTATTGCGAAGTTTCAACTGGGCGAATTCGTCCTTACATTCCGCAGAAATACCGGCTACATATCTTTAAAGCTACGCATGGGTTGTCTCATCCCAGCATTCGGGGCACAACAAAAATGATAGCTGAAAAATTTTTCTGGCCTTCTATAGATGCTGATATTAGAAACCATCATCGACCGTTTCAGCCGATGGCCAGAAGCAATTCCGATCCCAGATCAATCAGCGGAAACCATCGCAAACGCACTGATTACTCAATGAATCGAACGTTTTGGCGTACCCTTACGTATCACAACAGACCAAGGAAGACAATTTGAATCTTCATTGTTCAACCAACTAGCTGAAGTTATCGGTTGCAAACACTTACGAACTACGAGTTACCATCCTCAAAGTGACGGAATGGTGGAACGATTTCACCGCACATTAAAAGCAGCTTTAATGTGCCACCAAACAACTTCTTGGGCAGAAGTTTTACCAATAGTATTGTTAGGTCTACGCACGAATTTTAAACTAGACATTGGAGCTTCTGCTGCTGAAATGCTATATGGCCAAACTCTACGTTTACCGGGCGAAATAGTAAGCAACCCTAGCAACAGAAATATAAATCAACACGATTTCATAACCAAGCTAAGAGAACAAATGCAAAGCGTCAAGTCAACGTTGGTATCGCATCATATAGACCGAGGCTACCACATCCAACCGGCTCTAAGCTCATCCACGCATGCATTTATACGAAATGACAAGGTAAAACCCCCATTGACGCAACCTTACGATGGTCCTTACCAAATACTAGAGCGAAATGACAAGACGTTTAGAATACTGATCGAAAACAAAGAACAAACAGTCAGCATAGATCGTCTTAAAGCTGCTTTCATATGTCCCGATACAGACATTGACATCCACAACAAATCAATGGTATACCACACTCCAAACAACGTTAATGGCGACCAGTCTGTGCAACCAAATACAACAGCTAACCTGATAAAATCAGGACGCAACGTTTGCTTTCCAACCAAATTCAGTGACTCCATCACTTAGGGGGGAGTACTGTGGCAGCACCAAAAAATATAAATAAAGAACTGTCAACAAGGCAGAAGGGAGACAACAATATCCGCAGTTCCCGCCAGTAGTAGTTTTGGAAAAATATAAAACAACACGTGAATAAATGGAAAACTTCTTAACAATAATAAAATTTAAATAATAGTTTGTAATAAATAATTATAAGAAATAAAAAGTAAACATATTAAACCACTACATACTCATTGTTGTAATTTAAGCATGATATAGACGATGCTACATATCTGCACACCAAGTATGAAATTCAAGTATGCCCTTTGCTATACACTTTGAAATAAAGTATGCATGCTCCATTTTGATTTATTTTCTACAGCGTTCAGAACAACAGCGGAGCAAGTACTGAGTGCCAAAGTAATCGAAGCTGAACGAATTGAGATGATGATAATAGCAACATGTTATTTATTTCATTATTTCATTATATAAAGATTTCATATTTCTTAGAATTAAACATAATTTCTTATTTTCATTATTAAAACTAAAATTATTTTGAATTTAATTCTTTAAAATGTTTTATTTTAATATTTTTATTCACAAAATAATTTTTATATATAAAAATTTACTTAAAAATGTTTTTAGCACAAAATAATTTTTAAAATATATAAACTTTAATAATTGTTTATAGCACTTTTTTCAAATTTGCTTCTTTTAAAGAAAATAAATGTCGAACACTTTTTCAATTATTTTTTAAATTTTTTCCGAAGTCTGCAGATTTCGATATACACAATCAGACATGTGTGCATACTTAACAAATAATTGAAAAGTTTTAATTTAACCGCATACATGTCTCAGACCGAAATTTAGTATGCAAACTTGAATATAGACGGTGCGATTTGGTAGCACGCTTACCTTGTCTGCATACATGTAGCACCGTTTATATCCTGCTTTAAGCATTTTTGTTTACATACTCCTTTAGATTTTAATTGTTTTTTTATATTATTATATATTATAGTTGTAAAATAAAAACATCAGAAACATTAAAGATAGTTTACAATATAGGCTGTAATATCTGTACCAATAAATAAATAATTTAAGCAGATTAATTTGTTTAAAATGAACAACAAAATAAGAGTTCTATTTATTTATGAATGAAACTAATACATTAAAAATTATATATTAAAATTATTCTTCATTAAATTAAAGTTTTAATTAAAACATAATAAAAAAAAAGAACATAACCAAAACATAAAATAATAATTCGAATAATTTAATATTATAAATTGGTATCCTTAGAAAGAGAGAAAAAGAACAATTGATTAATACTCTTGAATAAAAGCTTTCTTAATATTTTGAATAATATAATAATATAGTAATTCACGGAAAAATGCTTTACGTTTAACTGTGTTCCATTCTAATGAACACGCCATACATATGTATGTATATTTGGTCATAATTGATCTGCTTAATGAATGCGTCTAAATCGTGACATATTTATTAATGAATTTATGCGTGAATTACTGTATTAACTTTTTAATTTTAAGTTTATTAGAATAAAAATATGACATTACTATTTAATTTGTATGCGCGCATTAAAAAATTATACATGTACTGCACTAAAGGAACAGCATTAGATGGTATCTTTTATGAAACAAGTGTATAAAAAATAATAATAAACTTGGGGTATTTAAATAACTTCACTTGCTGTAACTTACAAACAATGCTGTCCATTTAGATAGAGTAACATTGTGGCGTAAAAATATTCTCAACAAATAGCATTTGTTGAAAATATCTTATAATGTATTAGGATATATGGGTCATTCTTTTACAAATTTTTTTTATGAGCTCCTTTCATAAAATAAGAAGACCCGTATCTCGGGAAAAAATTTTGTAATTTTTTTCCTAGGAGATATGGACCCATGGGGTTTTGAGAATTGGCATTGTAGAGACATTTTCAAATGGCTATATCTCAAGTTCTATAAAAGGTAGAAACTTGAAATTTATTGCGTTTTAAAGATAATTGGTTGAACTTTTAAGAAATTGTTTAAACAATTAAGATTGTTTATATTTAAGTACTAATATTAACCGTTAAATTTCAAAAAAAAAGATATCTCAAAACGTTACGCAACATTTTTCATTTTTTATATTTTATTTAGATTCAGTTTTAAATTTTACTAAGAAATAAAAATTTTCATGATGGCACCGATTTTTATAAATTTTTTAAATTTTTTTTTTCTCATAAAACACATCAAACACATGCGTGCTATATTTACATTGAATGAATTTTCAAAAAATATACTACAAATATTCTTATATACTATTTTTGATTTCAATTAGTAATAAAATTGTACATAAAACTCAAAAATTTCAGGACGATATTGTCGTTGGAAGTACTTTTAAAAAATTTATTTATCCTTCACATCACTCCAAACACATACACACGATTTTTCAGTAAAAAAAAAAAATAGAGGAATACGTCACACAAATTTTTCATTTTTACTTTTACTTCCGATTAAACAATAAATTCTTCTTCGAAAATAAATATTTTCAGTGTGATATTGCTTCCAGAAGTAATTTAAAAAAATTAATTTATCAGGTGTCCTTCATGTTACTCATACGCACCATAATATCCTTTAATCAATTTTCCAAGAAAAGTGACACAATATTCACATTTTAAATTAGTTCCGCATCATCTCTATTTTTAAATTATGAATTTTAACATAATTAAACCGTTTTATGAACTTTTTCTTATATTGATGAGTTTAAAAATTAATTAGTTCCACACTAGCTGAACTACCTGTATAACTGCAGCACATAATTACACAGTTGAAGAAATTCTTTAAGCAGGTACGAATTGTTATAGGAAATAAACTGTAAACAATTCTATATGGAGATAAACTGTAAAGAACTATAAACAAAATATTTTTTTTAAGTTTTTGTATTGATTTTATTAATAATCATTTCATTATTGATACATAATCTGAAATGTATGCAGAAGAAAATATTTTTGCCATTAATATCGTTTTCGAATTAGGAATAAAGCAGTGATATTTTAATGTACCTTTAACTGATGTAGCTGCTTCGAAACGGTGTTTAATCTTATTTTCTTCAGCTTCATAGTCTTTTGATGTTGAGAAATGGCACACAACATTTGGTAAACATTCGTTAGCCCAGTTAAATAATTCCTTTGGTGTTTGAATTGGATTATGTATTCGTTGAAAACTAGCTCTTGCAGCATTCCTCTTTAAGGTACCAGCTAAGCCGTCGCATGGTCCTTTGCCGTGTGAAGTTGGGAAAAAGTGCCATTCTGCCTCCAAACCAAAGTCTGCTTTGTGATGAGTTAAATTAATAAAATTTTTTTTATTTTTGTATTGTGAACCCGATCCATCGGAAAAATATATAATTTTTTTGATATCCGTACTAATTTTTTTAATGAATTTGATCGCGTATTTTTGGAACAAATGTACAGCAGTTGTGTTGTGATGTAAACAGTCAGATATGCAGACGAAATTTTTTATTTGTAGTTTTTTATTTTCATCACGGTGGTATATTGCAAACGGATGAATCGTTGCCTGATTATTATTCCAGTGAATACCTTGAACAGAGTTTTGAACAACAAAGGCATAATTTTCGGAAAAATCACATAAAACTATGCATTCATTTTTTGCTAAGTTGCTTTTCTTATCATTTAAAAACTCTGCCTGTTTCTTAACGATAAAGGAATGCAATAGCAATTTGTCTAAACCGTCTGTTAAGGATTGCAAATATTCGTCTATTGGTAATGTCAAGGTTTTCAATGTGCATCACTCTTCACGAATCCATTGTTTATATGTAACGGTTTCAATCATGTTGTCATCAAATATCTCCAGAAGTTGTCGATTAATGTTTTCAGTTCTAGGACATTTGGCACAGGTTCCTAAAAAGCATTCTGTGCTTGAAGCATGGCAAATCATGCGGTGTAGACAATCTTTATAGTCATTTATCGGCTCCCTACTGCATGCAGTCAGTGCTTTTATATTTACTCCATCTATCATTAATCGTACATTTTCGTGAATGGAGCAT